TTAATAAATGGATATAAAATATATCCTGTGGGTCTCAATTATATTTCCAACCACAATATTTCTTCTAAAATACTCACTCTAAAGACTCAAGTCTTTAAAAAAATGTCATGCCCTATCAAAAACAAAAATGTTTCCTAAAAAAAGAAGTACCTGTACACTTTAAGGAGTAAGCACCTTCATTATGAGAACATTGTCACCATTCTGAAAGGGACATCTATCTTTCTACTACCATTCTGCTCAATGCTGTAAAAGCTACAATTATACTTTTTGCTTTGAATTCTTGAAATAAAAATGATCTTATCTGCTTTTCCAATCATGTTTTTGGGCAGCTCTAACCTTCTTCACAGAGGTTTTCTCAATTCTTTCTAACAGTCCGCAGAACTAACAATTAAACAAAATGCATAGACAACTGAAGATTGACTATAAACGAGATGCTTAACAGCAAGCGCTATGGTGTGAATCAACTTCTTGTTCAAGTAACTATTTCATCCACAACCTATTTTGCCCGAGAGCTGTTGAAAAACACAATAGAAATCTGTTAAATTGGCAATCTTGCTGAACTTCAACTACTTTATCTACCCAGGTCCACGGCAACAGCAGATACTCAATAGCTTCTCTTGGAAGAAATGTGCGTTGATCTGGGGCAGAGGTGCAGAGATCAAATGGACCCAACTCCCTCTTCTCATGGCTTCTTGCTGTTTCCTCTTTTGGAAAGTACATACATATCACCTTAACACATACATGTGTGTATTCTTTAGGAAAACTTCATGCTTAAAAATTCAGTCTAGTAAAATTCATAAATGAGAATATTCCTATTTGGTTTTCAGGAGCACCCCACTATCATTTTTTAAAAAGATATTAATCACGCTTACATGTAAAGTTGGACTGAATTTCTCAAATTTTTTTTTTTTGAGCAAGATTAGCCCTGAGCTAACATCTGCTGCCAATCCTCCTGTTTTTGCTGAGGAAGCCTGGCCCTGAGCTAACATCTGTGCCCATCTTCCTCTACTTTATACATGGGATGCCTACCACAGCATGGCTTGACAAGTGGTGCATAGGTCTGCATCCGGGATCTGAACTGGCAAACCCTGGGTGACCGAAGCGGAAGGTGCAAACTTAACAGCTGCGCCACTGGGCCGGCCCCATGAATTTCTCAAATTTTGATGAAGGACTTTTATTTTTTCCAGGAACATGTCTAATTTTTAACACATATTCATCAAGCAGGTATACAATCAAGCCTTGATGTTCTTCCTGTGACTTAGATATAACCTACTGCAAAGCTGTCACACTAGGTTTGCTTATTTCTGTCACCCAGCTCGTTTCTGGGCAGGCTGCCCGTGTGTACCATCTCCTTATAAATCGGTTTTGTTGTTTGAGGTATGTAAGCTCATTTAAAAATTAACCTAAACAAAACAAAATAATTAGAAAGGCAACTTGCCCACAACAACAACGAAAATCTTTTTTAAACCAAACATGTAATACATTCCAAAAACAAACACAAATGACTTTTAAAATAACCATGATTTTGGATTATCTCTGCCTCTATTCCTCTCATTAACATGAATAATTCAGAGTGCTTGCTATACATGGTGAAAGTGTTTTCCTTCAATAATTCATTTTTAGTATGCAGAAAAATAAGAGGTAACATACTTATGTATTTCCAAAGGTTTATATTAGACCATATTTTTAAAGGCAACTTTACTTTCAAAATTATCTATAGTTTGGGTTCATTCCCTTCTGTGCTACCCTGGTTGTAAGAATCTTCTGTTTTCAAGGCCAGGGCAGCAGACAGCATGTAGCAGCTCCGCAGGAAGAAGCTCCACCTTTCTCTGGTTCTTAATATTCTTCAAGTACATATCAATTATCTGCAAAGTGTCAGCAAGACTGTCAATATCTTTTTCCTTAAAAAGATGAAAGGACTTTGGGACATCACACCTAGCTTTGAGTAAAAAGAATTTCCCAATGTTCTAGCCACACCGAAGGAACAACATATTTATTTGCAACTGAATTTTGAGTCATAACAACATCCTAACATTGCAGTTCTAGCCACAGCAAACATCCCTAAATGGGAAAGCATTCTTGGATGGGGGGGACTCAAAACCTCAAATCTTGCTCTAATGATGACTCGAACAAAATTAGGGATGTGAATTTATCTACTGATTATATAAAAACTCATCTAGATTCCCAAACACAAATATAAAACATATATCTACACAGACATTTCATTCATATCCTATATAATATCCTATATTATTCATATCCAATATTTGTGTGGGAGACAATGCGTATGTCTTAGGTCTACTTAATTTGGGGTTTGGAATATTAAGTTAGTCTCCCATTCTGTAAATTCTTCCTGGGAAGATGTTACATTCTTCTGGAAACCATACTAATTTTCTGGAGTCATGGGGCTGTTTAATGCACTGCTTCCAAGCACCAAATGCTGCCCCTGTGACCCGGAAGGAAGGGAAAGAATGTCATCAGGAATAGCCTGCAGCTGCACTAAATCTCAGCTTCTCTCTGCTAACAAAAAGGTGGGGGGAAAAAAAAAGCAATCAGATTTCACTGGAGTATACAGCAGCCTTGGCCAAAGGCTTTAAAACTTTTTTGATTTCTTCTTTCATTGAAAATAGGAGAGGAGCTTATAGAGAAATAAGCCAAATACAACAGTTGCTGAACTTGGGTCAACATCAGATACCACAACAGCTTTTGGGATGTTAATGGAAATGTATGAAATGAGAATGTATATTTTGATACCTGTGAAAATAAAACACTGCACTTTAAGTGAGTGGGAGAGAACAGATGGTCGGTAATGATTTAAAACATTTATGTTTTTGGACTGTCACCAAGCCTCCATATTAAAAAATACGGTGTTTAGTCAGTACACACCAACATCTATGGACAAGGTGCTCATTTTCTGGGGGATGCTACTGTCATAAAGGAGATAAAAACTGAATGAGGCAAAAGGAAAATTCTCCTCGTTTTCTCAAGGCATTCAACATCTGCTGTTTCTTATTAATGATATTCAATCAAAATGTCTTCTGTGTGATGAGAGGATTTTAATTTTTCCTCAATAACGAGTCAACTCCAAGTGTCCAGGTATTGTGTTCTTTTTAAATGCACTGGGAAGTATTGCAATTTTGTTCTGTATATTTAATTCACTTTGACAGAAGCCCTTAAAAACCAATAATAAACCAAAAAGCAATAATAAAATCTGGGAGTCCAGGGTACTGTTGCCCACGAAAAACAATAACACTCTCCTTACCCTCAATTTTGTAGACAGGCATATGGTGTTATGATTATGTACTGGAATTGGCAGGTGCCAGGCCAACGAATCAGGAAGACAGATAAATATTAAATATGGTCACACTGTATTTTGGTGTGTATATGTGAGTCTAAAAGAAGCCCATGTTCTTTAAACCCAGTGGAACAGTGACAGTATAGATAAAATTGTGTATAGAGAGATTAACGCAATGTTTGAGGCTACAATGAAGAAAAAGAAACACTGGTAAATAATACCCAATTACTATAAAAACTGCGCAAGGAAAGTCCTATTAAACATCCCCAGTGTTTTGATTTGGTTCTGTTAACATAAAAGGAAAAAAGTCACACAAACACACACTCTCTATCATTTACTTGCCATCCCTTTCAAAACCCCGGGAACTATTCCGGAACAGTCTGCCTGTGGGAGGAGATGGGGTGAACCTGCAGGGAGAGCAGAGAGGAGAAGCGGCAGTTCTGGCTTGGCACCTGTGAACTTAGTTGGAAATAACTCCTGACAGGCATCAAACATAACACCTCTTAGCCTTCTAACAAAAACATGCTGCTAGGCAGGATGTTCAAACGGGGCAGAAGACAGAGGGAGCGGGAACCGTGTGAAAGTAACAGCAGCAGCAACAAAACAACCACGCACTTCCAGCTCTCCACAAAGCGCCTCAAGGCCCCCGCCCCAGATCCCCCTTCCCAATCCCTCTGCTGGAGCCACGTGGAACCTGGGCTCCGAGGCTCCTAACTTCCCTCCCACACTGCCCGCCGCCCTAGCAAGAGAGCCTTAGGAAGGTCGTGGAGTTTGGGACAGATGCAAAAGGGGCACCACAGCAGAGATGCTCATCTTTCTGCCAAACATGCTGGAGGACCGGATAGACCGGCATCAGAAACTCCACACTGTTCCTTCTGATGTCCTCTTTCCAACCTCTGCACGCCCCCAGTGGGGGCTGGCACCGGAACCCTGGAGTCCAAGGTGTCCCGCCAGGGCCCAGGAATCCAGCACAGGTAGCTAACAAGTTCAGGTACCCTGTCCCCGTTCGCCACCCCTCTCAAAGTCTTCGCAACCCCTCATCTCCTGGACACCACCCCCTACCCCAACCCCAGCACGTCCAATAAAGTGAATGGAAGTAGGTTCCAGTATGGGGGGCGGGGAGGAGCGGGGGTAGAAAAGGAAGATGCCTCCCGCATTCAACATTCAACAGAGGCGAAGTACCTGGAAAGGTGAGGATACACTTCCCCGCCCAGCCAGACCCCTCTGCGAACGGCGCCCCGCACTCTCCGCCCTTGCAATCTCGGACCCCCACGCCCCCACCCAAGCGCGGTTACCTGGCGAAAGGGCGCGGGCACCGACTGCGTTTCCAGGAGCGGCGCGGCGGCAGGAAACTTCCCCGCGCTCCGGGGCAAACTCTCGGGGACTCCGCCCCGCCGCGGCCGCGGGGGTAAGGAGGGAGCGCGGAGCCGGGCGCGGGGCGGCGCGGAGTCGGCCGCTCGCCCTCTCCTTCGGCCCGCGGGGCTGCGGCGCCGCCCCGGCTCCCGCCCGCCCGCCTGTGCAGCTCCGCCTCCCGCGTTGATCGCCCGCCCGCTCTGCCTCTTATTCTCCGCCTTTGTCGTTGCCTCTTCCTCCTACTCTCTGGCCTTCCTCTGCTGCTGACTCGCCCTCCCTCCCAGCCCCGGCCCGTCCCAGGGCTCCAGTGCCACCCACTCGTGGTCCTGGAAGCAATTATCACCCTTCCTTCCCTAACTCACCCTCCCCTCTTCACCTCTGCCCTGTCTCGGATTGCTTTCCCAGGTGTTCCAGAAGCACCTGAAGGACAAATCAATAGGTTGGTAGGTTATCTCAAATACTGACTCCGAAGTCTTAGAATTTCTCTTGCTTTACAGATTTTTAAAAAAATATCTATATTAATGATAATGGGTCCGTAAGGTGCAGTACGGGAATCTGCCCTGGTGAGTCCAGTAGCAGGATCGTGGAAGGCACAGTCTTCTTACGAAAGAGCCAAGTGGCCGTTTCCAGGATTGGAGACCTCGTAGATCTCTCCGGCCACGCATTTCAAAATCGAACAAGCTGAAGTTGGCAGTTTGTAAAGGGCTTTGCAAAAACCAAGATTAGGATACTTTTTTTGTTTTAATCATTAAAGGAGACAGTTCACTGAGATTTAAAAAGATTAAATCTTTAAATTTAAAAGATTTTAAAATTAATTCCAAACGTTGTGCCAAATCTGACCAAACTGGGGCAAATAAAATTAACCTGACCCTTGATTGGGCATTGATTCAGGCGGTTTCTACGAATTAACAAAGAAACACTATTTTTGTGTGTGTGTGAGGCAGATTGGCCCTGACCTAACATCCGTTGCCAATCTTACTCTTTTTGCTTGAGGGAGATTGGCCCTGAGCTAACAGCTGTGCCCAGCTTCCTCTGTTTTGTATGTGGCACGCTGCCACAGCATGGCTGGATGAGTGGTGTGCAGGTCTGTGCCCAGGATCTGAACGAGTGAACTCCAGGTGCCAAAGCAGGTTGGGAAACTTCATCACTATGCCACCAGCAGGCCCAAAATCTTTTTTTTTTTCAAGTGGTAAATGGTTAAGCCTATCTCATTGCTACGTTATGAGATATTGTATATATATTTCAAACTGAGATGTTATCAGGTTTCTACATTTTCAGGTCTTGTCTTACTAGTGGTTTAGGAATAACACGTAGGGTGGTAGTGATCTTTGATTCATTGAAGAAATGCTATTAAAGGACTTGCTTGTCCCATTCCGGGTTCTTTGAAACAGGGCCTGATTTATTTTTTCTGTTGTAAGAGTTTTATTTTTAATTTATATGTCTGCTGGTTCATCATTAACACTTAAGTCAGATATGCCTGTCCTCCTGCAGTGAAGGTCCTTATTCACCCCTGGAATGAAGCTCCTTTCCTGCAGTTGGACTTCTAAAGAAGCAAGGTGGTGTCCCTGAGCTGTATTTAACTGGTGGGCAATTGGTGAGTGCTTGTTGAATGAATTAAACAATTTAACTTAGTAACTTTTGGTTTGGTCCCATGGATGTCATTCCATGTCCTATGAACTCTTGGCCTTGTGACCATCCAGTAACCAGAGCAGTGAAGAAATGCCAGCCGCCGGGCTCAGGAGATCTGGACTCCACTTCTTGGCTGCTGAAAGTTATACAACTTTTGTGGCCTGTGCCTTCTCATTTGTGAAATAAAGGGATGGAGCAAGAATATCATTATCACTCGATTACTTCTAAATTCTTAAAGTTTCTGTAGCTAATGGGGGAAACTAGGTGTGGTCAGGTCAACTTCTGATTGAATTTGCTTGATTGATGTACTGCTAGGCATTGCTAGTCCATTGTGGGATTTTCCATTCTTCAGAGTCTATGTCATTCATCTATCATAGCAAATTAAACTCTTAGAACTGTGAACCTCTGTCCAAAGCCATTAAAAATATTTTTAATAACTAAGGAAATTGAATTTTGTGAATATCCAAGGTTGATGAATAAAGCGTCAAAGAATCGCCTAAAAGTGCATACCAGGCATCAGTATAAGATGCATCTTCTCATAGCGTTTGATTGGAACTTATGTGCTTAAGTGAAAATACCACCTTTTTAAATTTCATAGGTAAACTAAGCTTATTTTTACATAGTGAGTTATTTTTAAAACATTGGTTCACAGCATGTTTCTAAGCTCTCTGGTCTATTAATTTTGTTTAGTTCTTTGATTTTCTTAAAATGTTTATTGCCTGTTTGGGGGCAAGTGTGAAGCTTATGGATCATTGATCCTTTAATGTGTAGGTTAGTAATAATCATAGTCATAAAAGAAGTTTCTGCATCAAATCTCAAGTTACATTTGATGGCAAGAATGCCTTTGTGGAAGGGGGACTTGATCATCACAATACAGATAATATTGGACTAAGCATAAGAAATGCAGCCAAACTTGACTTTGAAAATGTAACTAATAGTATAAAGAAGGAGCCCAACGAGCTGCTCACCTTTTATGAATAATGTGTGTAAGGAAGATAGGGGTGGAGGGGTAGGAAAACAGTGTGGAAGGAAATTTTCCTGGTATGTCTATGTACAAAAGAGCTACTTTAAGGTGTGGGTACAGCACTATTATGGGATAGCTCTTGCTGTTTTCGCATTTGTGCTTTTCTTCAACCACGCAGTTCTCAGTGAAAACTTGGCTTAATGAATGGCCAAAATAATAATTCAGCAAAAGTGCATTAAGCACAATGTACAAGGTCATATAGGGGTTGCAGATACCTCTAAGCCATCTTATTTGTGGCTCCAACTGTTTCCTTGAGCGAAAACAGAGATATATTTACCTGGAAAGAAGTATTTTTACGAGTCAATAGAGGATAGCCCGGTAGCTATAGGAAACTACTCTTGCTCTTATTCTGTTCTTATTCGGTGGGAACTTCTCTTGCTTTTATTCTGTAGAGCAGGAGTAAAACAAGGAAAATAATGAAAGAACATGATTTATGTTGATTCACAAACAAGAGAACACAAGCTATCCCACTGACCTGGCTTAAGCTAATGAGATGAACTGGAAAGAGTACTGAAGAACTCGATTTGGTGCCATGAAGCTGGGTAAGTCTTCTCTCCCTGAGCTCAGTTTTATCATCTGTAGCACATGCAGGCATTGAACTGGGTGGGCCCTAATGACCCTTCCAACTTCAAAACTTCTGTGACGTCTGATCACAGTCAATTATTTTGATCAAGCTATTCAGATGATTAGTCAACTTCACAAATCAATTTACCTGAATAGTGACGTTCAAAGCAAATTCTAATCAGAAAAGGAAAGGCTGGTGTAGGCTTTTCCTCAGTAGAAGAATTTCAAAACAAAAACTGAGAGCACACTAGATGAATGCGGGACTGATTTGCTGAAGTTGACCTACAGGATGCAGAATGTGGTATCATACAAAGTAGAACTTCCTCTCTGAAATTTAAGAGGAAAAGGTCTTAAGGCTTTATTAGCAGGAATAAGTAGAGCAAAGGACAAAGCAGTAAACTTTACAGTCTAGGAAGATTCTAGAAGCATAGTGATCCTGCTACACCCAGCTCGGTATAGCAAATTTTGCACTTCAATGTAGAGCCAACTTATTGTGTGATGGGGAAATTAAAAAGATTTGACTCTCTGAGCTCGGTCTTTAACACTTTTTTAGGGACGAGATTATTTTCTTAAAAATTAAGAATAACAGCAAGGACCAGACATATATAACTAAAGGACAAATTAAGTATTCAGAATACTATTGGGAACAAAGGGAATGCAAAGGGAAAAATAAATTACTGGAGAAAGCATAGGATTAATATTAAGTGAGGAAGAACTCTGAGCCCTGAAGAAGGGAAAACTTTAATATATGACAAAACAATGTTAGTCAGATGAAAAACTAAAAGATAATTATAAATAAATAAAAATGAAACAAGATATGTCGCCATTTTTATTATGTATCTGTGGCCCAAATAAAGCAATGATTCAAGGTCAAATAAATTAGAATAGTCAGCACCTAATAGTCTTGGTAAATAGAGCAAGTCAATAAATATGCATTGATTGGTTGATTGAATAAGAACTGCTTGCAGTTATTTTAGGAAAATCAAAGTCACTGGGGAAGTTATGTATGTAATTTCTTAAACTAAGCAAGTATGAATTTCCTTTAAAAAGTAATAAAAAATGAAACCTTTCCAAATAGTCACTTTTCAGTCTGAACGATGAAATCTTATTAAAATTTTATAATATAGTGTTTAATCTATAGAAAAACCTAAATTGGAAATATATACAATGTGGAAATACAAATGTGCCTCTGTATAAAGAAATTATATTTTACATCTTTGATGTTTTTTGATAGATGATTGAAATAGGGAAAATTCTATGTGAACAGGTTACCACAAAAGTGCAATACTTTCCTCTATAGCAATATTTGGGCACATACATTTTTATTTTCCAAAGTGACTTCAGCTTTTGGTATGGGCAGTTGAGATATTGATAGATGACTCAGAGATCCTAACTCAAAATAAAAAGTAATTTGCAATGGTCTGAATTGATGACGGGCCTTCCATACTGTAAGTTTCAGTGGTGTCTAGGGAAGAGTGAGTGATGGAGCCTTCCTTAACAAATATTTTACTAATTAATTTACCAAGCATGGCTGTCAGTCAGTGTGGGCACTCTGTGTTAGTGCCTTGGATACAAAAATTAAGAAGATGTGGTCCCTTTTAATAAGGTGATAACTAATGAATTTCAATTACATATCATTAAATTTAGAAAGGCTAAGCCTACAGGAAAAAAAGAAAGATTTTCTGGAAGCAAAAGAAAAAGAAAGATCAAGATAGCTTTATATGATTTCTCTTCAATGATATACGTGTGTGTGTCTGTGTTTGTGTCTGTGTTTGAAAAGGAGAGAGAAAGCGAGCAAGGTTGTAAGAGATTTGATGAAATCAAGAGAATATGTCAATGATGTATCCCAATAAAATATGGCATCTGAGGGCAGAGAGTAATTCTAAATCCACCCCTCCCATACGATGAAATATTTCCTTGTCGAGCACTGGGAGTATTTGTGATATATGGTTCACCTCACCAAATTTAATATCAATTCAGCCCTGGGGGACACAGACCATGGTGACCGTCCTAGCCTTTTTGAGGACTTTTTGTCCACTGTTCATTGAAAGTGTGTATTGGTAACAGGGGAATTTTTTTAAATGAAGGTAAATAATGATTTTTGAAACGAATGTGTAAGGTCAAAAAATTAGTGTAAAATTCACAAAATCCTGTACTTAGTAGCCTCATAAAATTTAGAATATAATATCAGAAATGTATTACAAATATTTTCTAAAGTTGATATTCAAAATAGCTGAAAACAGAACTAATTCAGGGATCATTAAACTCATGTTGTTTATTTAGTTCTTCACATCTGAATCTCTGTCAACACACAGTTATTCTAAACACTATTTTGGCTATTTGTTCTACTTAAAAGTCTTTTTTTCCCTTGCGTTGCAAAAAAGAATTTAAACAAATTCTCTCATAGTACTTAGAAAAGAGGGAAAGAAAGAAGTTAATATCTATTAGATATTTACTGTCTTGCTTTTGTATTTGTGAGAATTGGTGACAGTGGGATTTAAAACTTGAAAGACTGCCTTATTTTAGGGGACAAAAGGCACTATTTCTGGCTTGTAATTGAACTTTAGATACGAAGGTAAAAGTAGATGAGTTCTGGATATAATCTCTTGGCTAAAGTCAATACATTTTTCTAACACATGGTGATATCCAAGAATAAACTTTCCAAGGAAAAATGTGTCTTCATGCAACTCCCTCAAAATGTTGTCATATTTAAGTTCATGGGGAATCATAGTTTTAGCATTTATGAGTTAATTGTTAGGATATTAAAAATACCTCAATGATATGATATCTCTGTTATCTCTTACGTGCTTCGTCGTCTTCTCTCTTTTCTCTTGGTTCACATTCTAACTTGTAGCGACTGCGCTGAGCAGTTTAATTCTTAATTTCAAAATACCAATGTTCTTTTGAAAAATTCTCCATGCACAGAGGAAATCAGTAGTGTAGTTATTGATTCAATGTAATTTTTCAGTGCTGAGTGACCACATTAGAAGGTTTCACAACATCATAGCTGATACACCTTTTACGTTTTATTTTTCAATTTAAGTGGAAGGACTATTTAACAAATCTGCACATAGATGTTCAGTCTGCATTTTTAAGACACATTTGACTGCACTTCATGAAGTACTAAATCTCTTATACATTATGCAAATGTCCTGAAACTATAGAACTCTCATGTTATTTTTTTTCAACCACCACTAAAAGCAGAGGAGTAAATATCCGTATATTAGCTTTTGAACACTGTCTATACCTCTGGGTTAGATGTGCAAATATCTTCCCCAGGGTAGGAGCTCACCCGTGTCTGTTGTCAAGCTGACTGGAGACTTTCACAAGAGGTAAAAGTGAAATGTGTTTCAATGTGATGAGGAAGCAGGAGGAGAGCAAACGCTTTACATGAGGCATGGAGGAACAAATATGTCCCAATTTGATGACTTTATTGTAAATGTGGTAAATACCAGGAATTAAAGTGTAAAAATGAAATGTTCAACAGGCCCTCTCTAGCTATGAATAAACTTTTAAATCGCCCTTTGGATTAAATGCAATAACTTTTAAATTACCCTTTGGATTAAATGCAGTAACCTGGTATTACTTTTAACCGTAACGAATTATCATAGGTGGTGGAAAAAATGACTATAGCTTGCAGGATGAGCAAAGGACAGCCAAAATCTGATCTTTACAAGCAATGAAAAAGCATCCAATTAGGAAGGAAAGGAAAAGCCCAGTGTTTATTATTCCTTCCTGCTTTTCTTGAATATTTAGAAAGCATGTCTGTTGATGGAAAGAACTAGTAAATATTTATAGATACTATTGCCTACCTTAGGTAGCCTGTCACTTTATCAGATTAAACTGGCCTCTTTTAAACATTTGTTTTAGGATTTAAATTCTATCTGCATGAGGAAAAAAATTTTCCTCAAACCGTCTCTTTCCTGCCATGTATTTCTTGTCTCCAGGAAAGTAAAATAGAGTTCTCAGTAGGATGTGGCATAATCATTTATGACATTTATCCACTGTGTAAATATAAAGAGTTGCTAGGAAGATAAGTTAATGGAAACAGAACTACAACACCAACAGAATTAGAGGTGTAGAGGTTTGGTATCACTATTTCCAATTTACAGATAAAAGTGTTGAGGGTAAGCAAATTCTAGGGAGATTCTTACCAGTTGTTCTGCACTTCTGAGCTCCATAATCTCAGAGAAATATGGAAAATGGAAAGAGAATCAGGAGGAAAACTACATGGTTATATCAAGTGCCAAGTGTACTGCCCACCGTACTGTAGGTAAGCATGGTTTATTTATTGATGCAATCAAATTAAACTTAAAATAAGATCCATGGAAAAGACCAAATAATCTAGCATTAAGCTGTCTTCAAGATTGAAAAAAATGAAAAATATTTTAAAGACAATGGGCTAAGATTGACAGCATCAAGGATTATATAATATATATATATGTATGTGTGTATGTGTGTGTGTGTATGGAAACCATATATTTTGTTCACTTATTTATCAAATATTTATTGAACATCTCTCATGTTCACAGTTGCCTCTGGGGATGGGCATGTAAATAAGAAAAACAAGATCTCTGCTTTCCTGCTATTTGTGCTCTAGCGGGAAAAGGACACTAAACGAGGACGTAAAATAAATATGATAAGTAAAGATTGAAAATTTCTATGGAGGATATACCCAGGGTTATATGGATTCATATGAGAGAGGGGATACTGAGGTAGAAGTTCAGGAAAGGAGGTGATGTTTGAGCTGTGTCCTTAAAGCTGAGAAAGAGTAAACTAAGACAAGTGCCTAGGGAACAGTATTCTGGGTAGAAGGATCAACATGTGCAAAAACCCTAAGATAAGAAAGAGTTTGGTGTATTTAGGGAACAGAAGGGAAGCCAAATGGGCTGTGCCAAGGTGAGACATGATCTGAGGCTAAAAAAAGTGATAGGGCCTAGTTCATGGAGGGCTTGTGGGACATGATAAGGCATTTACACTTCATTTCGTGTGTAGTGGGAAGCCACCAAAGGGTTTTAAGCATAGTCAGACTTAGATTTATTGATAGTG